AAGATAACAAGTGTTTATTTCGTTTTCCACGATCATTGATCATAGTAGAGTCGAGCCACTGTCATAGTAACGAAAACATTTTACATCATATTTTGAAAAACAATTAATTCATCGGTTGAGCAGTTTTATTTTACTCTTTCTACATTCGGACTTGTAGGTTGCATCTATATATAGTACAGTATGAGTAGCATGCACTGTACAAGTATCTATATGCATACGTAGGTATGTTTTCGCACGCGTATGGAAAAGAATTTAAGGTGGCATTAGATTTTAGACGATTGAAAATTCGATTAACATTGCGAAAGGAAAAGATACAACAAAAATGTAATAATTTTGTTCGAGAAAAGTTTGTTGTTTCCGAATCTCGAATATTAATATTCGTATTAACATTGCTACGTATCTATAATACCAGGAACAGTTTCACGATGGCAGAATGGCGTTGCGTGCAACACACAGGTGGAGTGTGTGCCTCTTGCATCGTTTTGTTTCGCCCTTTGTGTGCGTTTCTATGCGATAAAATAGCGTGTGCTATATATAATGTACATCTTTTCGCTGCTTTTAAGATGCGGTGTGTAAATAACGTTTGAGAATTATACTAATCCAGTAACAGAGGAGCGGAATGAAGAATCTTGGCAAAATTTAAAGCTTACTTGGATCGATCGCTAACATTTGTTTCGGCTTTTCGCATGCACGTACACATATTCAGACTCGATCTTGGTCGATGTATTGGAATTCTTCGTGCCTTGCCACCAGCAAGTCGAAGTTATTCCATGGCTACATTTTTCTAAAATCAAAATAAAAAGTATCAAAATCTCGAGTTCTTGGGGAAGAAATAAAGCTTTCAAAAGCTCGAAATCAGTCTACGCGTCACTGGTGTAAACAAATGTCTCGTATCATACGTACATAGCACGACGACGAGAACGAAATTGTACCGCACAGTGGCGCTGTCGTCGTTCGAATGTTAAAGAAAAGTAGGGGAAATCTGGATGCTATTGGTCGCGTACATCACGTGCCGTAACATTTTTCTTAAACCGTGTCGCATATTTGTGTCGATTATGTGCAGCAGGAATATACGCGAACGACTTATTTCTTCACTGTTCTGTGCTTTAGTGTATTTGAAATAAAAATCACGTAAGATACGTGTACAAAGTACAGTATCGTTCAGTAGAGTTTGTTCAACGTTCATAAAATTGTAAACTTTCTTCCATATAACAGGAATAAACATCAGTAGTATTTTTTTGTAATTTTTTTAATAATTTGTCAATAGAATTGTTATCCATTACAATTTTTTCAAGCGTTATTAATTTCATAGTAAATCGAACCGATCGATCGATCAACGCCTCAAGTTTTATACGTGGCAACGTAAGCGACGGTGACTCAACCAACCGTCGAGATCGTAAAGTAGCGTTCGGAGCGCCAGTGAATTTCTCTCTCTCTCTCTCTCTCTCTCTCTCTCTCTCTCT